AGAATGAAGGAAATTTCACAGCTTATGTAATAATTTGTTTCATTACACGCCTACGTGACTTATTCAAACATTTGCACAGAATTTATTCTAATCTTTCCAGTCATTCTATGACACATACATTATTCTCGTTAATTAGTCCAGTGCAACCTTGAGCACGTTTTGTACATCTGTGTATAATAGTACGTATATGCATATCCCATTCCTGTATTTCTTACATGATTATAAAAACTAAGTCACCTTACTATTCTCTGAGTCGGTGTACTACCGAACTCCAGTGCTTTGTACACTCTGTAGACATTTTATTTGTTTGTCTGTCATTCGACATCAGCATGTTTGAAGTATACGTACAAGTCGTGCTTGACTTTTATTATCTAAGTTGTATAAACATGATTTTTCGACAGAATGTATACGAAGTAAGTAGGATATACATTTCATTAGTATTAATACCGATTGATTATGTAGGCATCAACAACAAGGATATTAGATGTAATATTTACTAAATTACATTAAGATAATGTTCAGAAATAAAGTAATCAAATTGTTTATAAACCATATTTCATTGATAACGTTTTAAATAGTCTGAATATATGTCTTCTGTCTAGTTCATTAATTTATGGAGAATAATTCATTCTGAAGTCAGTTTTCATCAGCAAGTCATCGATAACAATGAATATTATTAGAGCTATCTATTGCTAATTGACTAAATTTAGAAGAATGTGAATTATTGTATTGATTCCTTGTTAAAACTAATTCTAAAATGAGAAAAAATTTTTAACAGACCAGCCATCTCAATTAACATAAGTCTATACAGCATGAATGTATCTAAAGTCAAGTGAAGAAACTGAACAAATTTATCCCACTTTAAAAAAAAGATAACTAGCCCTTTACAAGGTATCATTACCAAGGTTTGATTTGATAATTTCGAATGAATTGAGCATTGGGTAGATTGTTATAAATAAATATATATTTGTAATATCCTAATGAGTAGAAAATTAGATTTTCTGACGTTTCGTGACTTAGTGTGAGTCACTTCTTCAGAGAATAAATAACCAAATTAAAATTAATCCAAGTTTAATTTGGTTATTTATTCTCTGAAGAAGTGACTTACACTAAGTCACGAAACGTCAGAAAATCTAATTTTCTACTCATTAGGATATTACAAATATATTACTTATTTACAGCCCTTTACAAGTTTTTTTTTAAAAACTATTTTGGGAAAACTTAACTAAGCTCTGTATGAAAATATTTGATTTATAGTTTATAAAAACGAATGAAAGGAATTACACAGAAAATAAGGTCCAAGTCACACGATTAAAGTCAATTCTATCCAATGACAACATTAGCTATCGTTACCATCCTATAATATGGCCATGATAGCATTCCATATTTATGTACAAACAAATAAAATGAACAGTTCTACATGTACAGTTGCATAAAATATAATATGTAAAAACAGGATGATTAACAGTCAAGTTATCAAATTATGTAGTATGAATATATTATACAAAAAAGTTAATACTTATTCAATCCTTATAAGTATAAAGTGTCAATAAGTAGGACAGTAAATTAATTATAATCATTATTGGAAGAAGACATCAAAAGGATGAATTGCAACTGGAAAAAACTGCAAAGGATTGCCCATGACAGTGTTGGCTGCAGAATGCTGGTGGACGACCTGTGCTCCTCCACGATGGGTAACAGGCATAAGCATGTAAATATTATTATTATTATTATTACTCAATAATTTGGCATATTTAATTGAACTGTCATGCTATAGACACGAATGTAAGCAAAATATAATAAAATCCTGAAAATGATGGAATTTATTACAGTATTTTTAATGTGAAGTAAATCTCGAAAAGGTGTATTTTTTCTTATTTAAACAGGGAAAGTCATGTAAATTTCAATAAAAAAGACCAATGTGAATCAAAAGTAAAGCCTAGAAATACAATGTAAGTTACAGTATTTAAATAGTATCATGTTTCTTCTCTAAATTACTTACAACACTATTATTATGATTATAAAACTGCTCAGTAGTTCAAGGAATAAAACTATTATTTGGTCTATGAGATTATTCATTATATTTAGTTTATCTTAGTCCACTATTATATAAATCACTACCGTCATAGAATATATAGATTTCCCATCCAACTTATGTGATCACTTAAATTACAGCAAGTACTATTCATAATTAGGTGGTGAAGACTCAGCATTATCAAACCATGAATAATAAATACATACTAACTAATTGTAGCATTTCATAGCGGAGCAAAAAGAGAAAAGAGTTGAAGTAAACACGAAGAATATAGGCAAACAGAAATGTTTGTTCAAGAAAAGAAATATTATTTCTAAAATACCAAAGCGAAGGACAAATAAACAATGGAACAAATAGCAAACTGATCAGAAACGATTAAATTTTCACTACTTGAAGAAAAATAAATAGGAAATATATCTTTGCACCGATGACATCATACTCAAACGACTGTATCTAGTGTTCTCCTGTAAATATAAATCAGATGTAAGTTTTGCTTTGGATCTTAGATACCTCATTCTACTGCGAAATAGATCTATGTTAACTTCGTTTTCAAAAAACTGAGACTACTATTATTTGATTTTGTTCTAAATATAGAAAAGCGAAACATTACTTCAAGCAACTCGGTGTATTATATTTTTGCGTTGTTTGTGGAACCATCATTGTGACAGAATTTGCATATGCATATAATTTTACATAAATAGTAGAAATCAGCTGAGTGAACACATACAATCATTGTTGAGTCAGATGATGAAATATACCGTCTAATCCTGATCACCTAACATGGGAAAACACATCAATAAAGTAAGTTTAATCCAGGAACAAACTGTTTGACTATATACATAGTGTGCAGTAGAAACTGTTCCAAAACGTATAACCATATATACAAAACATAATACGTATATAAAATCTAACACTTATCACCTTTGTTCTGTAGACAGAAAGTCCTGGGTTCGAATCCCGGTTCTGGGATCGTGGGCACACACTACTTAGGAGTCGCACGCTAGAATGAAAAGGCAGTCTAGTGCTTCCAATTTTCGGATGGCTGTCTGATTTAAATCGGTTTGTGATTTCATTGAAACTCAACAATCTCCACAACCTCAGACTGACAAAAATGTTTGACGTATTATGATTCCAACGTAGTTAAAAAGCGATAATAAGGAAAAACAGACTATGTTTAGATTTTGTAATGTAACTTTTATAGCTTATTAATTATCAGAATGTCTTATGATTTAAAATCTCTCCTAGGTTTTATCAAATCATCCGTTTTCTGTTAGGCTTTTCTAAATCATGTGGATTATCCTACGCTCCAGCATAAGAATACAACAAAGTGAAATTTACGAAATATTCTGTAGTTTACTATTGAAAATCAAGGTGCATAAAGTACATTATATAGATAGCCATGTCTAGTTGTCTAGGCCTAAGCAGTTATTTATTTATCAAAAGGGAACTAGATTTTACCAATAGCAATAGCTATCATAAGAAAAATAGTTTAATTCATAAAGATACTGTGAGGAGCAATAATGCTTAAGCATTTGACGCATAAAGGGACAAATTACTTACATTTCTAAACATTTATAAATGATAATAATAACTTTACTAACAAGTAGAATTCATGCTGTTCAAGTTTGAAATGGGACTCAAACTACAAAGTTATGAATTCGTATGAAATCATAATCATTCATATAGGGTTAAAATCTCTACTACACGAATAAATAACTACTGCAGTATCGAGTAAACAATATCACTACTAAATAATTTATTCTCATTAAATTATCAAAAGTGTATTCAGAAAAATAATTATCATGTTCATTATCTTTATATTAAAAAAAAACTCTTACCAATTTTGAGTAGTCCTTTCCATTGAATAGCATTGAGTCCAAAAACAACAAGACTAAAACCCATCGTTGCACCTACAATACTATGTGTGCCAGAGACTGGAAGACGGAAGAATGTAGCAACCAAAAGCCAAATACAAGAACCTATAGACAAATGAAACAAATATAACAGGAAATGGTAGAAAAAAGTTACTCGAAATAGTGAATATCTCCGTAAACTCTATCAGTATATGTATAATTCTATGAATACAGTTTACTGATGATAAAAGCTTATGATTATGAAATACATCCACTTAATGTCAATTATTTGATATTCGAGTTTAATTAACTGATATGCGCCCGTCAGAATAGAGATTAAGAAAACTGTAAGAAGTTATCTTTTAACCATTATACTAACTATGCTACATACCTGAAATAATCTCAAAATGTTAGAGTTAATCCCAAATTGAATAATACATAATAACAGTGTATACATTTAACTGCTTGTCATGAGTTCATTAGACCCAATATTACAGGCTTTAAGCAAACACAACATTTGCTAAACAAGTATACAAATATCTAATGGTTCGTTTTTATTCAATAAAAATAAATAGCATTAAAAAATATGCCTATCACAAATGCAACCAATAATAAATTTTGATAAGTCACAAATTATTTTACAACAAAGATTATTTTAACAGGAAATTAGCAATCACCTTGAGAGAAGTAAATATTTGTTAAGAACATGGAGTATAAATGTGCCAACTTGACATTAAACTATAATCACAAAAACTACGTTGGATTCTGCACACAGTTTCACTCAAACATAGGATAAAAACTAACAAATAACTTGACAATTATTTTATCAATATTGTAATAAGTACGTCATTGTTTTGGAATAATAAAATCTCCTTTTAAAACTAAGTATTTAAGATTTTTAAAGTTGCCATCAAATGTTTTATTGTGCAAAAGACATTAAACAGTTTGGTAACAACTGTAATTTAACAGTTGATATTAGTCAATCACAACGTAGAACCTATACGCATGTATATCGGTTCAAATTGCAATACCCCAATAGCACAGAGAGATGAAGTTGTTGTCAGGCCAGATCCTAGAATAGTAGAGGTAGTAACAGTATCAGTGGTAATAGGCAAGATTGGACATCGAAGATATGACTCGAAAAGAAAATATAAATTAGCAGAATAACGACAAAGAATGGATGCACCTGAGCCGTTCCAAACGATTTAGAACCATGTCATTCAACGTTTTCAACCATTGATTACGATAATCACGCAACCCCCGACCAGGTAGTACTTATTAACACTAGTTAAATCCAGTTGTCAGTGACTCCATGGATTGATGTCATGTTTTGGTTTGGCTGCCCCATAGTTTCCCTCCAGCCTACTCCTGCACCAGAAAACATCGACTGTCGAGGTAGGCGGTGGTTGGGCATACGCAACACATGTCCCAAACACCTCAGTTGATGTAGATTTATTAGATCATCAATCGATTTGCCTAGTACTCTATTCCTAACCCAGACATTGAATATTCCGTGATCTCAAAATACACTTCTAGTGGCATTATATCTGACTCTAGTTAGATCGTTTCTGATTGTTATCGAGATATATACATGTTGCCAATCCTCGACTTAACTCGCGTTAGTGAATGACGGAATTAAAGTAAGACAAATACAAGAATGGGTTTTGAATACGTATATTTTATACAATCGTTGATCGGAATAGACAGTCAGAAAGACGGAGCGAAGGAAGAGAAGAGGAGAGAGTGAAGCGAAACGAACCGGAGAAGACATGTCAAACAAATCAACTGAACCAAGAGTTACTCAATATTTCTAGTCAGACAAAAAACAGGTTACAGACATGTGATGAGTCGAATAACAAATGGACACACATACGCTTACATAAAAACGGTCAAGGTTGATAAGCGAATAATTAACAAAGTCAAAAATGTGACTCAAGGAGAATGAATGAATTGGCCTGTCCGAAAGCTAGAATAAGCTATATGGGCTTGACATAGTGCCAGCACGTCAAAGCCCCCTGTAGAAAATAGCAAATTAACCTTAAAATGTCTGTTTTCGAAATTAACACAGAAGATGTGTGCGGTTAACGAAAACAATAACTAGCGAACAAAAATTTTACTGTATCTGATAGAGTAGTGTCGCGTAAGGAGTGAATGTATTGTCACACTTATGTAAAAAAAGCACATGAATATTGTAAAGATGGGGACAAAAAATGGAATGTTAGCATGCGATTATGAGCAAATTATCAAGCGTACAAAAAATTAACATATATTTATTTCGTGACTGTTTGAATGATTAAATGACACGTACGTATGAGCGATTCAAAATATCGTGAAAACAGAGTGATAAATCGTTCATGGGTATGACAGAGGAATATACCGTGAGAATAAGTAGGTTGCAAGTTGTCTGATGTATGAGCAGGTAGTAAATATATCGGAAATATATGACATGTGATAGCCATATATCCGCAAAAATGAAAGATAATAACTAAGTCATTGATGCGATAATTGACCCAGAACAAAATAAAAATGAGATATCCTAGCAAAAGGCTTATCAGAATTAAAGGCATCCACAGACATAATAAATGATATCGAAATGAAAAATGTTTGGTATAGCATTAAAATGATCTCGCCTAAGTAAATGTGTGTAAAAATAGGGCGGAAATGGCACGAAAAAAAATTGAGCGGACTCACTCAAGACGGAAAAGTTTTACGTTATTGAATAATAGGAAACAGTCCAGTGAGTTTCAAATGTTATAACGTGAATGGAATGTTCATAAAATTATAATTTCTTCGGTGAGTGATATGATTGTGTATATGTCATAATCCAATGTCAGCACGAACAAAAATAATAATTCCACGTTAGGTGATGATATGACATTAATTTTGGTGGAGTTTTGTTCTCTGAGCTGGATGGTTTGGTCGTGTCGATGGCTGTTGTCAAGATTTCCAAGTGTTCTGACGTAAGTGTCCTTTGTAGCTTCATCTTTTGGTCCTCTATGACGTGTTGGTATTTGCGGATTCTGTAGTGTGCATCCGTTATCATTAGGTGTACCATTTTTCTTCCACTTTGCTCAGCTATTTTCCATCCTAATGGGCAGTTGATTGGAGGTCTATATCTTACACTTGTTGGTAGAACATGCTGGCGAAGACACTCATGGAGAAAATATAGTTGTTCTCGAGTGGAAGCCTGCCTTTTGGCGAAATTCTCCCATTTTCGAACAACGAGAAGCGTATTACGCTCATATGATTTTGAGATGGTGGAGAAGATTTGTAGCTCAGGTGGATGATTTTGTTGGAGTTTTGTTCTCTGAGCTGGATGGTTTGGTCGTGACTTAGTAGATGAGGAACTCAAACGACTTAATCTCAGCTCAGAGAACAAAACTCCAACAAAATCATCCACCTGAGCTACAAATCTTCTCCACCATCTCAAATCATATGAGCGTAATACGCTTCTCGTTGTTCGAAAATGGGAGAATTTCGCCAAAAGGCAGGCTTCCACTCGAGAACAACTATATTTTCTCCATGAGTGTCTTCGCCAGCATGTTCTACCAACAAGTGTAAGATATAGACCTCCAATCAACTGCCCATTAGGATGGAAAATAGCTGAGCAAAGTGGAAGAAAAATGGTACACCTAATGATAACGGATGCACACTACAGAATCCGCAAATACCAACACGTCATAGAGGACCAAAAGATGAAGCTACAAAGGACACTTACGTCAGAACACTTGGAAATCTTGACAACAGCCATCGACACGACCAAACCATCCAGCTCAGAGAACAAAACTCCACCAAAATCATCCACCTGAGCTACAAATCTCCACCATCTCATATGACATTAATGTAATGATGAGGATATGATAATTATAGTCATAATGGGACGATCCATCAAAACGATAAGTGAGCAGAGTTGACACGAAGACAAAGTACATATAGGATAATGCGATCTGAGCATGTCCATGTCGCTGCTGTACCGGTGATGATGAATGCATCGGATTAGAGATTAAGTCGTTTGAGTTCCTCATCTACTAAGTCAGCCACTTTGTCCGTTTATCACACCCATAGAGTTCGAGATGTACACCGTCTGTCCAGATTTGCAGGATGCGTTTGGTCCGAAATCGAACTTACAACTTTATTAGTGTGATGATGATATCATCTATGAGGTTATCGAGTTCTTCCTGTCCCGTTTAGCTGGACAGCACACAAGCGACTGTTTATTCGAGTCCCGTCTAGGAAAGCCTGTTTTAAGTTGGAATTTAATGCTAAACCTACACCAGTGAGGTCACGGGAACTAGCAGTGGGGTCTCCAGTCACTTTTAGGGCAAATCGTCCCGATTCTTTATACTGACAAGGTGAGGTCAAATGAATGACTGTACTTGGACCCTGTATGAGCGTTTTGGAGACGCATTACACGTCGATGGCGCAAGATTCTAGGGTTTTAGCTAAAGGAGCATGTTGTGTCATCCGACACAAGGTTCGAATATTAAAAGCTCCAACATATAGTTTAGAGCATAGTTTCAAGAGGCCAGAAATAACATTTCGTGAACTCAAATCATTAATGTTAGTGGCACGTGGTGATAAAGATAAGTTAGAAGGGTTATTCATGGGGATGAAAGAATTATTAGGATAAAGGAGTGGTTCCATCGTCAATAAGATGACCTCGGGTGCTGATAGTAGTGTTAGAATGGTTGTCACTTCCCGGTTGCCCACACCGCGGAAAGATATTTCTTCTTGAGGGACCTGAAAAGGATGTTGAATTAGTGGCGGTCTTGGTGAACTAGGAGTGTGACCACAGAGCCCAACGGACAACTGCTTAAGGCCAGTTGCGCACGGGCTTTATATGGGACGTTTTGATGAGTTTGCTTCGCACTTCAAAACGCCTTACCGCCGGATGCAGATGCTGGTTGTCCGAAAAAAACACCTTACTGCACCCACACTCCACTACAGTCAGCAGTACGATCTGGCCTGTCGGCCTTAAGTTGCTGCTTTTAGTATTACCGTCTTCCAACCGACCTCCCTGGTGTGGCAGCACCTAAAGAAACAAGTGCTTACCCCGACGTAGTTCAGTAGAATCATCACGATAGGCAAGTCCGACCACCACATCGATAGCAGCTATGGTCGAGCGAACGTTGATATATATAAAGTAAAATAGCTCATTATCACTAGGAGAATTATTATCTTATCAGTTTTATTTAATTCATGTATAACTGTTAGCACCAGAGATTAAATGTAGTTGATTACTTTTGAAATCCAGAAAAAAATTATATAGTGAAAAAATACTATTTTCATAGACCTACCACCCAGAGCAGCAACCTGTCCGGCCATCAAGAGTACATGCCCGTTGTCGATGGTTTGAAAAAGTTCGACACTAACAATACCTTTCCGTATGGTATTGGAAACTTTAGCACCTGAAGAAGCACGCACGTATATATATAACCAAACTAAATTTACCTAAAAGAACAGAACCGCTTAATTCACAGATTGTAGCAAGAATACAAGCTTGTTTCAGTGTTAATACTTTGGCCCCAACACTAGTCCCGAATGAATTTGCCACATCATTTGCACCAATTCCAAAAGCAAGAATAAAAGCTATTATGAAACCAACAACGACCATCCATATTTGGTCTTCAGGGATCAACATGGTTCATAAGAACCAAAGACTGCAAGATAAGATCTTAATATCACACGCCCAAGTAAACTGGTGGGTTGAAAAATAGAAAACAAATATATTGTAGATGTTTGCTGATAAACAAAGAACAACACCAAAGATATATGTATATCTGGTTATACGAACCAAAGTTATAACTTAGATGGATGTGGACCTTCCCTAAGTTTCTAGAGATAAGCTCAAAATAATAAAAACAAGATGATCTATTAAATCACGTGAACACTTCTTTAATTTCAAGATTCGAGCTAGCGTATAACGTTATGAGATTTCATGCATTCATGTCAGACATTTTTTCACCTAAATGTCCAGTTTTGTAATTTTCCCATACTGTTTCCATAAAGTATCGAAGCAAAAGAGAGGAAAAATGTATTCCATAAACTTCATTTTTTGTTGAGCTGGCTTTATAAAATGTAGTCACAAATCTATTGAAAAAGTACACATTATTGAGTAGACGATCGACAGCGCCACAGTATTACTATATAGATCTACCCCCGGAATTGATGACACCGGTAGTAATCATGAGCATGTTTGATAACGTATCTCCACTTCAACCCAAGATTTCATCTCTTGAGTAATCGAGAGCTCTATAGACAGTATCTACAACAATCACCCACTAAGTTCTAAGTTCAACCCTTAAGATGTTAGTGGGTTAGCCATATGAGTAAACATACAGGCAAACAACACACTCTAGGATTCAGGTACATCCTGTTTAGTTTTATGATTACCACATCAATTTAGAAGAGGTTACGCGGGTGACATGTTAGTTATCCTGAAGAGAGATCACTTGCAAATATTCGTAGGTTGGTCGACGTTAACAACTACAGCAAATTTACAATTAAAGAAACAGAAGACAGGGTCTTGTTCTTTGATATTTTAGGCAACAGAGTAAACAGAGGGACGTAAAAAACAAGTATGGAAAAAACTAAGGTACACAAAGCAAGTATTAAAAGCTACAACAGCATACAAAACGAATTATGTCCAGACACTAATCACAGAAGTAAAAAAACAAATCTGGCAACCAAGAAACAGATCGCCCTACGATGTGCGAAACTCATCTCAGAAATCATCACAAGGGCTCTAAAGCTCTTTGGAATAACCGTCGCCCACAAACCAATGCAACCGCTCTATTTCATTCTATACAGACCAAAAGACAACAACAAAAGAAGAGAAATGAGACATCATTTACAAAATAAATTGCACCAACTACGGGACCTATCACACTGAACAAATTGAACGTCCTCCTCATCTATCCATAAATGAACACGGATCAGCAATAGAGAGACGTGATATGGTGTCACTGATATCGACATATGTAGACAACCATGGACGTGAGTTTAACTAGAGAGAATTCGAAACTATCTGTAAGAGAAATCCCAAGACGGCCAGGGAACCTCCGTGGGGAAAACACTTAAGTCCGCTGGGAATAAACAGGTGCATTGATGTCCACCCAATCTACGAACCTACATGAAATAGGCCAATTAATCATAGTGTTAGATTTCAACCAGCAAAGACAGTCGATACGAATACAACGACAAATGAAGGTAACAAAGTGTACGAAGGTACCAAGTAATAAACATGGCCATGGGAACAGATAGATGCAGTGTTTGTGGAACAACCAGAAAACTCACTTCTACGTGGAGTGGGGGTTTAAGATTTTGTCCAGAATAACAACTAAAAATCGACAGTCAAATCACCTAACTTATAAAACAAAACCACCAGAAATTAGTCCATATGGCAAACTTTACTGCTACAGAAGCATAACATAGCTCATTACATCAGAATATTTACAAACAAAATTGGTAGTAAACAGATAAAAGTTATTCAATGCACTGAAATTTTACTTCATTTGAGGGTTTAATTCACAAGCGCCACCAAGTTTCCGTCAAAGTCTTAAAACGAAGAAAAAAGATCTCACAGAAGCTGGTGTTACTTTAAACAACAGAGAAATTGTTGAAGTGTCTTGAATTCTAGTAAATCATTAATTAGATCTGAAATTCCAGTGTTAAACAGATTTCTAGTTGGCTTTTATTCGTTCTCTTAGACTGCTGTTCCTATGTTTACTTTTATAAAACTTTCGGTGATGTCATTTTTACCACGTGGTTTTTATCTTTGTTTATTGAACTTACTGGACTGATATGAAGTTTGATAACAAGAATCAACACACAACCGTATCGAGTTCTACGCTGAGATCATTGACAAACTAGTTTCTCCTGCATTATATCACCTATATTGAGAAATGGGTGGAAATTCTAAATAATTTCAGCTTTCTTAATTTACTAATTCATTGGATATACTCCCGATGTTTGTGATATATAGCTGATGTAAATACGCCTATTTAGTTCTTGGTAATTAACGACCTCAAGAACAATTAACGAAGCCAAACAAGATAGTTATTCAGTTAATTAAAGATAGTACAATGATAAAACTAACAGGTAGCGGCATAAGTGTATCAGCCATATCGGCATGTAATTACAGTAATTTTCATTTGACGTTTACAGTAACTGAGTACGGAACAAGACCAATCAAATTGGTGAGATGTAGACAAAACAATAAATACGAATCCCTGTGTTACTGAATCATTCTATGAATCCAACATTTACATGAGCTGGATTACATTAGTGTATCATCGTCAAGACTTTTTTGGAACCCATTGTCGACACATTTCCCATCACATAGACCAACTCAGAATTTTTCGGTACAAATGTATGAGGAAACAAAAGACATACTGGAATATGAATGCATGTTATATGTGATACGGTAATTAATGGTTGTCCGTCGAGCAACGTTAAAGTGACCTTGAAAATGTCAACGTACTAACTAGGACTAGATAAGGGTTATAAAGCTGTGTGAGGAATTAGAATTATGATTTACAGTTGATGGTTAAAGTTTGGAATTAGACTTCGGGTTTTCATCACGAACTGACATCAGCTATAATGCCAAAATATTATTTAGACGATAGAGTGGATGAAATTCGCGCTAAAACCCGAGACCTGTTATCTCAGATCTGATTGGTTCGTCCACAAATTGTAGTTTCGCCTAACAATTTATGGACAGGAGATTTTCACGTAAAGTGCTCACCTGAAAACCGTATACTTCAAGCACCTAGAGAAGATACCAAGCGACCGATTTTTTCCACTCGTAATTGTAGAAATGTACTGATTGCTAACTTTTCGGCTTTTTCTGAGGCTTTTTGAGTCTTCTGACTCATAGTGAAGTGTACATTTAAAAGCTTCGCAACGACTAAAATAAAAACTACTTTCGTCTTTTATTTTGACACTTTAAGTTTATCGGTACAAAATGTAAAACGGACATCATCGATTCCCATACTACTGTTGTTATTCAAATAAACTGTCTTAATACTCTTGTAGCGGTAAATAAATCCCCAAAATAAATAGCACTAAGTTTTCGACATTGGATGCTGACCATATGTTTTAGTGGACTCACCTAGCTGAAGGCGCTCGGTCAGGCATCCGCACCAGATCACGTGTGGTAACGCCGTGCTCAACATCAACCGCAATCGCTAGCCAGATTAGATCAGAGAATTCCGATATATTGGTCATCGCCAAATATACTCTTCCGATCTCCTCGACTCTGTCTTTTGATTTCTCTGGGCGGGAACGAAATATATTAGAAGGTGTTACTGGTAGAAGCGTTGTCAAACACTGAATACCTGTGACATCATCACTCTGATCTTGTAGTGACTCACATTCATCACGAGAACACGACTGGTTTAATAAAAACAATTATTATTATAACCAACTGTACCAGTGTTTGTTTTAACGTGCTTTTGTTGGGCTGTGCTAATGACAGCTATTTTGTGCTTCCATTCATATACTTACACTTTTGATTGTAACTTCGCGCGAATTCGGTTACGTTCTGTAACCAGACTTGTATCCTGGCACGATCTCGGTATCCTTTCGATACCACGAGATCGCCAGCAAATATAACTCGACTTGGTCCATTACTTGCCTTCTGATATTTGGCTTCTCGGAGATTTTATGGGTTTCTTTGGTTACGTTCAACCTTCGCCTTCTGATCTACTTGGCACGTGTTTCTTTGTAGCGGTGTTCATAGTTAATCTCAACTCGACACCACGCTACAATCTCATGCTTTACTGACCATTTCTTGTGACTTAAGATTAAAAGTGTTATAACAGCCTCCTACACAGTTCCAAATTACATGAGATCTTTGCATCATGTTGTAATAAAGTAACGCTATCGGATTTATATTTTGCGTCAGGCCACCAGATGTTCAGAGGAACTGCTTTTAATCAAGTGAAATCATTTGTGCTTAAGGATCCAAAAAGTATTCAGAGTTTAGCATCACAATAACCAGTAACATCTCTAATCGAATTTTGCCAACCCAGTCAAAGCAGAAGTCAGAAGAGGAGAGGTTCGACGATATATTTGATAGTCTATCAAATTTAAGCCGGCTGGTGCTTATAGGAGCACAGCATTCCCACTCATGATCTGATGCGGATGTGAGACCGAGCGCCTTCAGTCAGGTGAGTTCATTAAAACTAAAGTGGTCAACATCCAATGTCGAAAACTTACAGAGCTATTTATTTTGAGGATTTATCTAACGCTACAACAGTCTGTAGTAGAACAAACAGAGGTATAATAAATTAGATTACATTCATTTTATCTCTTGTTAGAGTGAAATGAAGTCAGAGGCTTCATATTAGAGAATGCAGTAATAAAGAACAATGAGTTATGTCGTTTAACAAGTTGGAGTAAGCTCACATGAAGGAAGGGAAGTCAAGGTTGGCACAAGGAAAGCTGTTTATTAGGAGGGAGTGTGCATATAGAGGGTGAAGTGTTAAGAGTACCAATAAATATGTCTCTTGTTGTCTAATTTTTTATTTCTTTCTTTTTTTGTCCATCCGATGCCAGCCACACAATCCTAGTGTAAAAGTCCGAGTTAACATGTTGTAGGTTGTCTTAGGAGAATAGCTAATCCAGCATAATATTGGA